TGATTGGGTTTGGTGACTGTTCTAGTTAGCTTTTCTCTGTTGCTCTGATAAAACTCCGGCCAAAACCAACTTGGGAAGGAAAGGATTTGGCCATCATGGAGGGAGGCCAGGGCAGGAACTCAAGGCAGAAGCTTGGAGGCAGGAGCTGAAGTAGAGACCATGGAGGCGTGCTACTTACTGGCTTGCATCCCCTGTTACTTTTCATATATAGCCCAGGACCAACTGCCCAGGGATGGCACTGTCCACAGTGGGCGTCAATTAGATGCCCCTCCACATCAATTAGAAAGTAAGAAAATGCCTCCCAGACATGGCCACAGGTTCCTTCAGTTCCATGGAGGAAATTCCTCAGCTGAATTCCCTCTCCCCAGCTGTCTCTAGTTTGTGTCATGTTGATAAAAACTAACCAGCACAGTGACTGGCCACATAACGCTTGATGGTCCCCACTGCTCAAGATCTTTCAGCTATCCTCAACTGCTAAGACTCTTTACATGGAAAAAGGAACACTTACAGGTCTGCGTAAGTGAGGTCTGGATTCCTCTGGGCTCAGAGCAGCCCACTGAGTACTCTGAGGACATCTGCACCAGGGACCCCTGTCTCTATTCTCCCACACCGAGACATTAATGTTTTCCTCTCCTCCTAAGTGCTGGGACCAGTAGCCCGATGTCCTGACAGATTGTTAAGACTGTGAAAAGTAGCTTACATTGAGAAAAGAAATATAAAAGTACATGAATGTGGACATCCAGAAAAATCAAGGACCGTTTTTCCCTTTCTATTGAAGTTTTGCAAATTTCATACAATATATTCTGATTGTATTTAGATCCACACCTCTATCTGCTCCGATTTCATATCTCCTCTGGCTCTATAAAAAGTCCTATAGACTCAAACTTGTGCCCCCAAATGCCCGTCGGTCACCATTGCTATAAGTTCATGAGTAACTGCCCAGCTGTCTGGAAAACTCTGTTCCTTTGTGGTCACCCACCACCTCTGGCTCTTACGATCTTTCTGTCCCCTCTTCCACAATGACCCCTGAGCCTTGGGAGGCAGAAGTTTGATGTAGGTCCCCTATTCATGGACAAGCACTCTGCAGTCTCTTATTCTCTAAATGTTAACTAGTTATGGTTCTCTGTGTTAAACACCATCTGTGACATAAGGAAGCTTCTCTAGAGAGAGTTGAGAGATGCATTAATCTATGGGTGTAATAATAAGTCATAAGGAGTCAGTTTAATGCCATATCTATTTAGGAGAATAATAGTATTGGGCTCTCCCCTATGGCCTGTGGCCTGTCTAGTCACAGGTTCCTAGACCTGATATCATTGTCAGGTATGGGCTCCATCTTATGAAGCCGACCTTAAATTCAATTACAAAATGGTTGTTTATTCTCATAATATTCATGCCACGCTAAGGACTCTAAGACATAAAAACATGGGCTGTAGAGATGGTTAAGAGTGCATACTGCTCTTGTAGAGGACTCAAGTTTGGTTCCCAACACGCACATCGGATTCTTCACAATCACCTATAACTCTGGCTCCAGGAGATCCAGTGCCCTCTTCTGGCCTCCACAGGAGAATGCATGCAGATATGCATATACATACACAGATACACATATACATAAATCAACATATTTGTGCTGGATAGCTTTAGTGTCAACTTGACACACCTGGGTTGAGGGAGCCTCAATCGGGGAATTGCCTCTATTGGACTGGCCTGTGGCCATGTCTGAAGGGCATCTTCTTGATGAGTGATGTGGGAGGGCCCAGCCCACTGTGGGTGGTGCCACCCCTCGGCAGGTGGGCCTGTGTTGCATAAGAAAGCAGGCTGAGCAGG